GGGAGGGGAGGGGAGGGGAGGGGAGGGGAGGCTGCTGCTGGTGCAGCGCTGGCAGCGTTCCCCCTCTGCGGGAGCAGAAGGGACAGCAGGGACAGGGAGCATCCCAAGGGATGCCAGAGCAGCTTCTCTGCTGTGTCTGCCTGTGGGAGCAGTGCTGGAGCCTCAGCACAGGCAGGCAGAGGCACTGAGCAGTCAGAATGGCCCTGAAATCCAGCAGTGACATCCCCGGTGGCACTTGGGGACACAGCTGAGTGGGAGCACGGCTGTGCTGGTTAATGGCTGGGCTCGCTGGTGCTCGAGGGCCTCTCTGCGCTTCCCTTCCTGTGATTCTGTGATCTTGAACATCGTTTGATGGCTCACTCAGAGCTCTCTGCTCCTCCTGTGCTGGAACAAATGTGCCAAAAGGCGCAGTGACCTGTCTGTGACCCCGGAGCTGCTGCTCTGCTGCATCCCTGAGTCACCGAGCCAGGGACAAACAACCCTGCAGAGCTGCAGGGCTGTGAAATGCACCGTGAACCCCCCGGGGCCCTGCTCCACGCGGCTCCACATCCTGCAGAACGCTTTTATCGTTATTCCTGGGAAGAGCATCTCCTTCCCGGGAGGAGCGCCATGAGCAGGCAGAGCTCTCCCCGTCCCTGGTGTTTTCCAGCAGCTGGGACACGCCCTAGGCACAGCCTGGTTTCGGGAATGTGCTGTTTGCAGCTCCTGGGAATGGGGCACCACGCAAGGGGGCCTGGGCTGGGCTCTCCCATGAGCTCATCTCTTTTGAAACCCTAAACCTGCCCCGTGCGATGTTCCCTTCCCAGGCAGCGCTCCTTCCCACGGTGCCGGAGCTCCCAGGCTGATTCACCAGCCTGTGACAGGAACCTGCTTTTCCACAGGCGTGTCAGGGCACGGGAGCCTCCCGGGGGCTGCTGCACTTCCCCTGCCCGGCCCTTCTGCTCTGCAGCTTCACAGCGACCACAGGAGCTGCCCCTGCCAAGGCTGTGGGGCAGGGAAGGGGCTGGGATGGGGCTCACCCCAATCCTCCGGTGGGAAAAGGCCCTGGGCGAGGGGGAAACCGGCAAGGGGGAGCTGCTGGGGGGGCTGGAGTTATCTGTGGCATGTTGGTGAGCTTCCCGACTTTATCCAGAGGGTGTCTCAGCAGCAGGAGGCAGCAGGAATCCCGCTGGGATGTGCAGGAGGCAGGAATCCCACTGGGATGTGCAGGAGGCAGCAGGAATCTCACTGGGATGTGCAGGAGGCAGCAGGAATCCCTCTGGGATGTGCAGGAGGCAGCAGGAATCTCACTGGGATGTGCAGGAGGCAGGAATCTCACTGGGATGTGCAGAAGGCAGCAGGAATCCCACTGGGATGTGCAGGAGGCAGGAATCTCACTGGGATGTGCAGGAGGCAGCAGGAATCCTGCTGGGATCAGCAGGAATCCTGCTGGGATGAGCAGGAGGCAGCAGGAATCTCACTGGGATGTGCAGGAGGCAGGAATCCCACTGGGATTGCTCCAGAAGCAGTTTGCTGCCCAGATGCCCCAGAGCTGTGCCCCATGGCATGGACAGGAGCTCTACTGGCTCCATGATCCCAACCCTGCCCCTCTCTCCACAGGGAGAGCTCCCCCTCAACGCCATCCAGGTGCTTTTTGAGGAGAACGACAAAACCTCCTTTCTCATCGAAGGTGGGTGTCCAGCACGGGGACAGAGGACCTGGCACAGCCACGGGGGGCTCGGGGTGGTGTGGGGGCACCCTCCTGCTGGGCAGCCAGGCTCCCTGAACCACCCCCTTGGAAATTTGGGATGCTCAGTGTCCTGGCAGGAGAGCAGCACCAAGGGCAGAGCATTCCCTACAGATCCCCTGGAATGCGGGGCGGGATGGAGCAGGGGGATTCCCGAGGGGTCCAGCCCGGGGTCAGCACTGGGGGATGTTTTTCCAGGCCGACTGATAAACTCCATCCGGGTGACCTGTCCCAGCTACCAGGACTACCAGGAGTGGCTGTACTGCCTGAAAACCGCCCAGTTCCGAAACGCAGACTCCTCCCTCTCGGGCTCCGAGAGCTTCTCTGTGGGGTCAAAGCCGCCACACCCCAGCCAGGTACGGGATGCTGGAGTTTTGGGTGGGAACCCACGGCTGTCCCATCCTTGTGACACTCCAGTGATGCAGCAGGCTCTGCTCAAAGCTGCCAGCAAGCTGCTGATCCCTGGGGATTATTTAAATAATTGTTTATTTCTTTTTAAAATATTTAAATTAGTAATACAGAGTATTATACAGGAAAAAAATGACCTTGAATTCTTTCAAAAGCAGAGGCTGGACACAGCCTGTGACAGGGCTGGGCAGTGAGGCACTGGCACAAGGACAGGGATGGGTTTTGGACTCCTTGATCCATGTGGGTCCCCTCCAAGTTGGGATATTCTCCCTGCAAGGAATGGAAGCCAAGCTGGGATGGGGCTGGCTGCCTGGCACCCTTTTCCTGCTGGGCACCCCTCATTCCCCTCACTCACCCCAAAACCAGCCTGGGATGCCTGTGGGGATCCCCTGGGGTGGGGCTGGACACTGCCTTTGGTGCTGGCAGTGTTTGCTGTGGGGTTGGAGCAAATCCCTGCCTGCAGCCAGGGCTTGTCCTGGCTCAGCTTGGCCAGGGAAGAGGCTGCTGAAGGATCCCAGTCCTAGTTCCAGTCCCATCCCAGTTTCAGTCCCATCCCAGCCCTAGTTTCAGTCCCAGTTCCAGTCCCTGTCCCATCCCAGTTCCAGTCTCTGTCCCATCCCAGTTCCAGTCCCATTCCAGTCCCAGTCCCAGTTCCAGTCCCATTCCAGTCCTAGTGCAGAAGGATCCTAGTCCCAGTCCCATCCCAGTCCCAGTCCCAGTCCCAGTCCCAGACCCAGTCCCAGTCCCATCTCAGTCCCATTTCCAGTCCCTCTCCAGTTCCAGTCCCATCCCAATCCTAGTTCCAGTCCCATCCCAGTCCCAGTCCCAGTTCCAGTCCCATTCCAGTCCTAGTCCCATCTCAGTCCCATTTCCAGTCCCATCCTAGTTCCAGTCCCATCCCAGTCCTCTGCCCTGTACTCGAGCTGTTGGGGATTACAGAAGAGCAAACAGGAGGTTCCAAGGCTGGGAAATCCCAAAACAAAGGCTGCAGGGGATGCAGGGGCCAGGCAGGGTTTTTGCTCTGCCCCAGGGCAGGAATCACACCCCCAGGGATGGCAGAGCGTGTGGGGCAGGATCCAGGGCAGGACCTTGGCACTTCCCGAGCCCGGAGCGATGCCCATGTGCATTCCCAGCCCGAGGAGAGCCAGCTCCGGGCTCTGCCCTCTCATTGCAGAGCCTGGCACAGCCCAGCTGGCCCAGCTCAGGGCTGCCCACGCAGGAGCTGCGCAGGGGGAACAGCGCCAGGAAATCCAAGGGCAAGAGCAGCGGGCAGCAGGCGCCCAGCCAGGAGCCGGAGAGGAGCGTCTGCAGCCTCATCCCCGAAAACCCCGCGGGAGAGATGCAGTCCCCGGTGTACCAGGAGCCCTACTCAGCACACGGCTCCCAGCACCACCCCCCGGCACAGCTGGAGCTGGGCAGGGTAAGGGATGGCTGGGGGTGGGATCGGGGTGGGGCTGGGATGGGGATGGGCTGGGTGAGGGATGGGATGGATGCAGGATGTGGCTGGATGTAGGATCAGGATGGATGAGGGATGGGGATGGATGTGGGATGGGGATGGATGCAGGATGTGCTGGGTTTGGGATAGGGCTGGATGAGGGATGGGGATGGATGAGGGATGGGGATGGATGCAGGATGGGGATGGGATCAGGATGGATGTGGGATGGGGATGGATGCAGGATGGGGATGGATGCAGGATGTGGCTGGGTTTGGGATGGGGCTGGATGAGGGATGGGGATGGATTTGGAGGGATGTGGGATGGGGATGGGATGGGGATGGAAAAGGAGGTGGGATGGGGCTGGATGTGGGATCAGGATGGATGCAGGATGGGGATGGATCCAGGATGGGGATGGAGGTGGGATCAGGATGAATGTAGGATCAAGATGAATGTAAGATGGGGCTGGGTGTGGGTTGGATGTGGGATGGGGATGGGTGTGGAATGGGGTTGGATGTGGGGTCAGGATGAATGTATGATGGGGATGGGTGTGGATCCTCCTGCCTGGAAAAAGCAAGGTTCACCTTTCCCTGCTGGTGCTGCTGGCAGGGACAGGGGCCTGGCAGGTGCTTCAGAGCAGGTGTGAAATCATTGCCATGGGAAAAGGGGCCGTGGGAAGGAGGTTGCACATGGCAGATGGAGCAATGCCTCCCAGAGCCCTGGGATGTGGGCACCAGCTCCTCAGGGAATCCATGAGTAGGAGGTTATTGCCTCATAGCACACAGCCTCCTCTTCCAAGGGTTTTCCAGCATGTCTCCATCAGCTTTTTAGTGTCATGCCACTTTCCCAACCTCTCAGTGACTGTTCCTTAAGGAATTCCCCTCCTTGGCCCAGCCAGAGTCAGCCCCATCACCCCACAGGGATGAGCACCATTTGGAACTTTATTTACAGGGCCATTCCCCACTCCAACCCCCCTGGGGACGAGCTGCCAGTGCCCTGTCCCCGTTTCCATCCTGCCTTGGGGCTGAACAGACAGAGCTGGGTGGGAGTTCAGCCCTCAGCAGCTCCCAGCTGCTCCCCTTTCCCTGATCCCTGCACTCCCAGTTCCCCCAGTGCTCCCAGTGGGGCCTCCTGCAGGAGCTCCAGCTGGCCCTGATCAGCAGCCAGGCTCCAGCCTCCAGGAGTTGTGCCCGGGGGTATTTCTTTCCCTGCCATCTGAGGAGGGATGGAAACTCCAGAGCTGCATTTCGGGGTGGGGCAGAGCCCAGCAGAGCTCCCTGTTCCCTCCAGCCAGGGCAGGGCAGAGAGGAACAGGTTTCCCCTGTCTGTGATGTTCCCCTGCACATCACAACCAGCAGACAAAGGCAGGCACAGAGACATGAGCCAGGCTCCTGAAACTGGAGATGAGTCAGAGCCAGAGCCCACTCTGGCCACCCCAAAAATCCCAGCTGAGATAAGGGAGTGCCTGGTAAAGGCCACATTGCTGCTTGGGAGAATCTGATAGGGAAAGGCTTCCTGAGTCATCCCCACCCTGGGGAGACCCCCTTCCCTCCAGGGTCCTTCCTGGCTCTGCCCTGCCCTTCTGCACCCCCTGACTGCTTTGATCCTCCTGCCTTCACCTCTGGCCAGCTCCCAGCACGCCTGTGGCTCACTGGGGATGAGCCCCGGCCTCTGTGTCCCACCTGGGCAGAACCAGCAACCCTTGCTTGGCCTGAATGTGCTGCCAGCAGGGCTGGGTTTGGGGTGGGCACCAGATGGGCATTTCTCAGCTCTGCACAACCAGGATCCAACCTGGGGCTGGATTTTGGGGTGGGCAGCACCAGGTGGGCAGCACCAGGTGGGCATTTCCCAGTTCTCCACAGCTGGGATCCATCCTGGGGCTGGGTTTGGGGTGGGCAGCACCAGGTGGTTCTCCACAGCTGGGATCCATCCTGGGGCTGGGTTTGGGGTGGGCAGCCCCAGGTGGGCATTTCCCAGCTCTGCACAGCCAGGGTCCATCCTGGGGCTGGGTTTGGGGTGGGCAGCACCAGGTGGGCAGCACCAGGTGGGCATTTCCCAGCTCTGCACAGCCGGGGTCCAACCTGGGGCTGGTTTTGTTGCAGTTCCTGCAGTGCCACGGGCAGACAGGACCAGCCCAGGGGACTGTGCCAGGTGCCCAGCAGCTGTCCCTGGAGCAGTGGCACTGCCAGCCCCTGCCAGGGCACTGCAGGGAGGTGCCCACCGTTCCCATCTACAGCACCCCGGGCACCTCACGGCGGCTGCAGCTGCGGGCACCTGCCCAGGGCTCCTACCTGGGGGAGGTGAGCCTGGGGTGCAGGGGACACTCAGGGGTGTAGGGGACACTCAGAGGGTTCAGGGGACATTTGGGATACAGGGGACACTCAGGGGATGCGGGGGATACTTGAGGTGCAGGGGGACACTCGGGGGTCCAGGGGACACTTGAGGTGCAGGGGACACTGGGGGTGCAGGGGACACTTGGGGATGTAGGGGACACTCACAGGATGCAGGGGACATTCTGGGGGTACAGGGGACATTCAGGGGGTGTAGGGGGCACTCAAGGAGTTCAGGGGACACTCAGAGGATGCAGGGGCCATTCAGGGGGTACAGGGGACACTCAGGGGGTGCAGGTGACACTCAGGGGGTGCAGGTGACACTCAGGGGGTGCAGGGGACATTCAGGAGGTACAGGGGACACTCAGGGGGTGCAGGTGACACTCAGGGGGTGCAGGTGACACTCAGGGGGTGAAGGGGACATTCAGGAGGTACAGGGGGACATTCAGGGGATGCAGGGGACACTCAAGGGGTGCAGGGGACACAGCTGGGGTCCCACCTTGCCGGGGTGGTCCCTGCAGGGCTCTGTGCTCAGCAGGGATGAGGCCGGGCAGTGTCCCAGGCTGGCACAGCCGTGCCACCTCAGCCGCCTGTCCCTCTGTCCCCAGATGTGCTCGCTGCCACAGGAACAGCTGGGCCCTGAGCTGCATCCCCCAGGTGAGGCCCTGCAGGCTGGGCTGTGCCCCCATCCTGCTTTGGCACCTGGCCTGCCTCCCCTGGCACCCCCAGCCTGGGCACCTTGGTTCATGAGAATTTTGGAATTTCTCTGTTAAAAGACACTGACTCCTCAGAGAACGCCACATCTTAATTCAGGCCGTAGAGAAAACTTTTCAAATTAAATAGTAAAACTAAGATATTAAATGTTATTATAAACTTATGTAAGTTTATTATATATAAATGATATAATTAATATAGTATATATAATATGCTTTAATATATAAAATATATAAATATAACTAAAATACATTAATATTATTTTAATATATATTTCAAAATGATAAATATTCCTCCCCATTTCCCTGCAGATGGCACCTGCACCTGCCAGGACTTCATGTCCTACCACAATTATTATAATTATATTATATATATATATATAAAAATTATCTTTTTTGAATGTATGTGTATATATATATTATATTATATTATATTAGGGACTCCACGTCCTACCACGACTACGCGGAGCTGCAGAGCTTCCAGAGCGACCTGAGCTACGACAACCTGTGGGAGGCGGAGGAGAAGGAGCCGGGCAGCCCCCGGCGGGCCCCGCAGGTGTTCCAGGTCTGAGCGCTGCTCCCGGCAGGAGAAGCCCCGGCACGGGCAGGGAGGAGCCCCGGGCTCTGCTCTCCACGGCCTGGCAGCTGCGGGGTTCAGTGCCAGCCCCAAACCCCGGCGTGGGGCCCGGCAGAGCAGCCCCAGTGGGGCTGCAGGGGCAGCTGTGCCCAGGAGGCTGCCCAAAAATCCAGCTGTGCCCCCTGAAAATGCCAGAGCGAAAAGGGTCAGGCTCCCTCGGGTGGAGGGGACGCGGGGTTCGGAGGGAGAACCCGAAAGGTGCCTGGGTTAGTTGGGTTCCTTTGCGCCAGAACCCTCAGCTGGTCCCTGTGAGGATCCCTGGGAACAGCCAGAGCTTCCCCCAGCCAGCTCTGGAGGCTGCCAGGATGCCCAGGGCATTCCCCATCCTGGCAGCTCACAGCCTTGTCCTGCTGCCAGAGCAGAGGCAGCAGACAGAAAACCGAGGGGGAGAAACCCCAAAACCCCAGCCAGGTCTGAGCACGGTGGGGTTTTCTTTCCACCTCACGCCAGAAAGGTTCCTTCTTGCCACTGCTGCCTCCAAACCTGGTGCCAGCAAAAATGCCAGGTGATCTGTGCTCCTTGAGGTCTTCCCTGCAGAGGAAACCCCAAATCCCCCCAAATCCGGGGATCCCTCCTTTCCTCCCTGCCCTGGGCTCACCCCAAACGCTGCCTGTGGCTGTCCAGACAAGAAGGGGAGAAAATCCCCCCCAGGAGAAACTCCAGGACAGCCAAAGTGACCAGAGCAGTGCCAGGGGGGCTGGGGTGTCCCTGATGTCCCTCTGGGCCCCTCCAGAGCCAGGACAGGACACAAACAAAATCTCAGGGTTGTTATTTTCCAGATCCTTTTGGAAGGTCAGCAGCAAATCCAAATGTTTTCACCTGAGGCTCTGAATTCTTAACCTTTGTTCCCAGCAGAGGCTGCAAATCAAACACAGCAACAAAACCTCTGCTTTGGTTCTTTCTCTGGTGCAACCACAACCATTTGTACTTGAATATCTCTGGTTGTATTTCGGGGTTTTTTCGGGAGGTGCCCAACAAGGTTTACATGTAAAGGCTGAGTGGGTTCTGTGTATGTAAATGTAAATGTGGCTGGTTGAAGAGCTGTTGAATTTTCTAGCTGTGGCTGGTGTTCAGTTCTGTAAAACACGTTCAGGAGCGTGTGGCTTCGGGTCTTGGAGCTGTTGGTTGTTTTCTCTCAGGTTTGCTCTGTTTTGGGGAGGATTTGTGTCTGATAAGCCCCAAAAGATCCATTTATTCTGAACAAAATGTGCTGGGGGACATCCCAAATGTACTGGGGGGGGGTCTCCCTGCCCCTGAGGGAACGCTTTGAGGGTCACCATCATATTTTCACTAATTTTAAGATCCCTTCCTGCTGATATTAAAGTTCCCTGTGGATTTCTGAGATTGGACAATCCCCTGGGATCATTTCCCTCTCTTGGCCATCCTCTGCTCGGATGGAGGTGAATCTTTGCCCATCCCTGCTGCCCTGGGGGCTCTGTCCAGGAGGATTTCCAGGCTCCTGAGTGTCTCCAGCTCGGGTCAGGCTCCTGTTATCCCTTCATCCTCGGCCAAAGTCTCCCCAGGGCTTGTCAGGACCTGGCTTTGGGTTTTCCCTATTTGGATGCTGGTCCAGGTGGGTTTGTGGCTGTAAAAACTCCCCCCCCCTCCCCTCCTGCTTTTCCTCCAAAAAATTTCTCAGCAGACTCAGGATTCAAAAAATTGGTTTATTTAGAGCAGCACCAGACCTGTCTGGGCTGCGTTGAGGTGGAAATTGGTCCCTGCAAACACACAAAAACCTCTTCAGTCCCGAGCACTGAGCCCATCCTTCCCCTGGCTGCAGCAGGAATCTTGGATTTCTCCCTGCCCTCTGATTTTGAAGCCACAAAAAAACCCCCATTTTTTCCACCCCTTAAAGAATAAACAGCAAAATTTAGGGGGGAAAAATCATTAGAAAGCGAAGTTTGTAACCTGCTCCTTGGCTTTGAGAGCTGGGATAAATTCTCTGCGACACAACGCAGGGTGTAGCAAAAAAAAAAAAAAAATCAGGCTGTAATTTTATTGTCTTTACGAGGACATTTGACAGCCGAAGGTTGGGAAGGAGCCGCCCCTCCCTTCCCGGGGGGATTCGGGATCCACTCCGGGCTCTCCCCGAGTGCCCTGCGGGTGGGAGAATCCACCAAAACGTGCGAGGGCCGGAGCAAGTGCAGCTTCTGGCACTGCTCCCTCTGCTCTGCACAGCAGCAGCCCCCAAAACCCCTCCGCAGGGAGAAGGAAATTGCGCAGGGATTCCCACGGGAAGCTGTGCCCTGGTCTCGGCAGCCAGAGGTGAAGGGAGAGTCAGAGCGGAGGAAAAATGGGAGTGGAGAAAAATCTGAGTGGAGAAAAATCGGAGTGAAAAGAAATCCGAGGGAAGGAAAAATCAGTTAAAGAAAAATCAGAGCGAAGGAAAAAATCAGAGGGAAGGAAAATTCAGAGTGAATGAAAAATTCCGAGGGAAGGAAAAATCCGAGGGAAGGAAAATTCAGAGTGAATGAAGAATTCTGAGGGAAGGAAAAATCAGAGTTAAAGAAAAATCTGAGGGAAGGAAAAATCCGAGTGAAGGAAAAATCCGAGGGAATGAAAAATCAGAGGGAAGGAAAAATCCGAGGGAAGGAAAATCAGAGGGAAGGAAAAATCAGAGGGAAGAAAAATTAGAGTGAAGGAAAAATCAGAGTGAAGGAAAAATCAGAGGGAAGAAAAATTAGAGTGAAGGAAAAATCAGAGTTAAAGAAAAATCAGAGGGACGGGAAAATCAGAGGGAAGAAAAAATCAGAGGAAAGGAAAAAAAAACAGAGTTAAAGAAAAATCTGAGGGAAGGAAAATTCAGAGTGAAGGAAAAATCAGAGTTAAAGAAAAATCCGAGTGAAGGAAAAATCAGAGTTAAAGAAAAATCAGAGGGAAGGAAAATTCGGAGGGAAGAAAAATCAGAGTGAAGGAAAATTGAGAGTGAAGGACTGCTGCGGCCAAAGCCTTTCCCAGGAGAAGGGGGAGAGGCATCCCTGGCTGTCCGGGCGGGATGAAATACGGGGCCGCTGCTCGGGCTGCACCTGCCTGACTTTTTCATGTGCCTGGCACTGCCGAGGTGTCAGATGAGGGAGCGACGTGCGGGGACGGCAGCGAGGGGTGGCACGGCTGGACAGCGGCCTCGGGGCACGCAGGATGCACCCAAAGGTCGCTGGGTTGTGCCGGGTGAGGTGCGAGGTCCCGGCCGCCCCCTCAATGCCTCGGTCCTGGCAGCTTTTGTCCGGGAGAAATCCTTGGCTATGTTGAATTTGCGAGGTTTAATCTCCATTCCGGCCGTGGACAGAAATGCCAGGCGTGCTCGGCCTTGCAGTGAGGCAGAGGAGAGGGCTGGAAAGGTCAGGGAATAAACCAAGCATTAAAATTTCAGGCTGCTCTGCTCCCTGGCGGAGCGTGGCAGAGAATCCCAGATCCCCCGAGACCAGCAGGACCTTTCAGTAATTCCTTTCACTCCCGCAGCCAGCTGAGAGCCTCCAGCTCCTGAAATATTCATCACATCCTGCGCTTCCAGGGCGGATCAGAGCAGTGTGCAGGGCACCTCTCAGGCTGCCAAGTCCTGCTGGCACCTCCCTTTGCTGTCTGAAGGGTCACACAGCAAATATCACAGCCAGCAAAGGGTGACAGGCACTTCTTGTCACCCCCAGGGCTCTCGGCTCTGCTGGGAGCAGCACTGGGGTACAGGCATGGAGACGGTGGGATATTCCCCCTTTGGAGGGGGAAAATTCGGGGGCACCGAGCCTTTCCCTGCTGGAGCAGCTCAGGGACAGCCAGGAGTCACTGTCCCCACGCCGAGGGTCTCCCCTGTGGAGCAGGGCAGGTCCCCAAGGCCAGGGGATGGCCTGGGACAGATCCAGCAGCCCCCAGCACACAGCCCTGCTCTGTCCCTGCAGCAGAAGCGTCCTCAGTGAAGGGGTTTGGCCAGGAACCCTCCCAGGTTCAGTGAAATCCTCAGTCCCTGGGACAGCCACAAGTCACTTGGGCCAGGGTTAAACCCAGAGAGGATGGTTAGACCATTGCAGCCCAGCTGAGGATGCAGCTCTGGGAGCTCCTGGCTGCAGAGGGGCACGGGGCTGCAGGGAGGGATGGAAGCTGTGCTGCTGGCTGTGCCTGCTGCTGAGCTGCCAGGCTGTGCCTCAGAGGGACAGGGACACTGGGGACACAGGGGACACAGGGGACACAGCCCCTCAGAGGGACAGGGACACTGGGGACACAGGGGACACAGGGGACACAGCCCCTCAGAGGGACAGGGACACAGGGGACACAGGGGACACTGCCCCTCCGAGGGACAGGGACACAGGGGACACTGCCCCGAGCCCCTGCCTGCTCTGTGCCCAGGGCCCCAAACCCATCAGCTCTGCAGCTCTGGCTCCACACACCCCCACACGTTGATTTCTCCTCCTGCAAAGCCCAGGGCTCCCTCAACGGCTCCCCACAGACACAGGGATGGACACAGAAGTAGTAAATGAGACAGAGCTTTATTAGAAGCTTCCAGCACGTTCCGTCTGCTCTCCTCCTCCACAGAAGCCCTCTCCGTGGGTGTTGAGGCCGTGCAGAGCCTGTCCATTCCCAACTCCCAGTGCCAGATCTCCCCGTGCCCTCCTCTCAGCGATAACCCACAGCCACCCCTGCACCCCTGAAATCCTCGTGGCACTCTCAGCACAAGGAAAGAACCCCCCCTCTCTGCTGGCACCTCACAAACACAGGGCAGAGCCCCGTGGATCTCAATCCCGCGCTGGTGCTGTCACCAGGCTGGTGAGGGGAGGAAAATCCTCCTGAATAATGCCCTGGGGTGCTGAGGGAGGCACTGGGGAGAGGGGGAACGGCACCATTTCATTTTCCACTTCCCATCCCACTCCCCATCCCACAGCTTCCACCCTCCCCTCACCCCACGTCTCCCCCAGCCAGCTCTGCCTCTCCAGGACGGGAGGCACAAAAGGAAATGAATCAAATACCCAATCCAACATTTCCCTGCAGCTCTGCCTCTCCAGGACGGGAGGCACAAAAGGAAATGAATCAAATACCCAATCCAACATTTCCCTGCTGATTGGCACGGCCAAACCTGCCCACCTCCTCCTCCCTCCTCTCCAACATCCTCCTGTCCCCTTTCCTGAGACCTCCCTGAGCTCAGCCCCTTTCCCTGCTGCCCTTCCCAGCCTGTGCAGCCCCGCAGGACCCTCCCCGGCTGCCCCTTGCCCCGTGTGACCCCTTGACCCCTGCCCGTCCTCTCCTGCCCGTCCTCTCCTGGGGACGGGGACACGTCCCTGCCCCGCTGTCCCCAGGGACGGACCCATCCACGTGCGGCAGAAACCTTATCCCCGAGCTGGGACTTGTGGAGTGAAATCCAAGAGGATGAGCCCTGCTGGAGTGCAATCCAAGAGGATGAGCCCTCCCGGAGTGAAATCCAAGAGGATGAGCCCTGCTGGAGTGCTCAAATGGGTCACAGGATCCGAGGCAGCGACCCCTGCATCCCCCGGAGCTGCTGCCCAGCCCAGGCCCAGCCAGGCTCTTCCCAAAGCTCTCTTTTCCTTCTTCACAGATATCCCGGCTCTTTTGTCGGGATGAAGAACCTCCCTGAATCCAAGAGGATGAGCCCTCCCGGAGTGAAATCCAAGAGGATGAGCCCTGCTGGAGTGCTCAAATGGGTCACAGGATCCGAGGCAGCGACCCCTGCATCCCCCGGAGCTGCTGCCCAGCCCAGGCCCAGCCAGGCTCTTCCCAAAGCTCTCTTTTCCTTCTTCACAGATATCCCGGCTCTTTTGTCGGGATGAAGCACCTCCCTGCTTCCTCGGTGCCACCAGGTGACTCCAGCGCAGCAGCCGGCGGGCACTGCCAGCCCCTGTCCTGTCCTACCGTCAGTTCCCGTCCCCGGGAGGCTCCCGCTCCCTGTGCCACCCTGTCCCGTCCGGGATGGGGCCGGGGAAGCTCTCGGTGCTGCCTCCAGGCTTCTCCCACTGTCCAGAACAAAGTCCCGGCCCCGGGCAGCGGCTCCGGCGTGGCAGGGGTTAAGTCCGGGGGTGCCCTTCCCTGACCTGCCTTCGGAAGTAGCGGATGGCCGAGAGGGTGCCAAAGCTTGCCAGGAACACTGGAAAAGAGCCCAAGACATCCCCAGTGTGACTCCCGGCGCTCCTCCCAAGCCGGACTGCCCCGCGGGGGTCACCCCTCTCCCTCCCCCCGTCCCCTCCTGCCTTTGGTTTGCATTCCCAGCACTCGGGATTTGCTCCCAGAGCGTTCCCAGCTGCCCACAGCCTGACTGGCCACGTCCAGTCCTGGAGTTTGGCTGCGTGGAGACACCAGCATCCCATAAAAAGGGTTGGGAATTTGAGGGGAATGCCCAACACGCTCCCTCGGTGGTGGGCAGGGGTTGGATGCAGAGATCCACAGGGAGATTTAATGGATGGGGTGGATACCCATTTAATGGATGGGGTGGATACCCAGATCCAGGTGGGGATTTCATGGATTGGCTGGAGTCACAGCTTCAGGTGGAGATTTGTTCTTGGATGAGAAAGGAAAAGCCCACCAGGGCTTCAGGACAGCACCTTCATTTCCTGCTTCTGTTTGCACCAGGAGGGCGCCAGGAAAAAAAATCTCATTTTGGGGATTTTTCTGGGGATTTTCTAGCCCCAGCCAAAAGCAGAAAATATCCAAAACCCTGAATCAAAAAATGTAGGGACACAAGAAATAACTAATGGGGGTGAAACGCAAACCAAGCTCTGCTCCGTCCCTGCACCCAATGGCTTTGATTTGGTTTACAAGGGACATGAAGTTCCCTTGATTCCCAAGCAAAACCAGGGATCCAAGCCGTGTTTTTGGACCCCACAATTTAAATTCAGACTTGATTTTGATTTATGTGCTGGAGGAATATAAACTCAGCTTGTCAGAAGCACAAATGCCCAGAGAGAACAGCTGCTCTGGGTGAGGAGCTGCTCCTGCCTCCCTCCTCTCCAGGTTATTCCACCCCAGAGCACGAGGAGCATCTCCCCCTTTCCACACCAAGCAAAACCAGGAATCCGAGCCATGGTTTTGGGCCCCACACTTTAAATTCCGACTGAATTTTATGTGCTAGAGGAATATAAACTCAGCTTTTCAGAAGCCCAAATGCCCAGAGAGAACGGCTGCTCCTTCCTGCCTCCCTCCTCTCCAGGTTATTCCACCCTGTCTCCCCCTTTCCACACCAAGCAAAACCAGGGATCCAAGCCGTGTTTTTGGGCGCCACACATTAAATTCAGACTAGATTTTGATTTATGTGCTGGAGGAATACAAACTCAGCTTGTTAGAAGCCCAAATGCCCAGAGAGAAGGGCTGCTCCTTCCTGCCTCGCTCCTCTCCAGCCTATTCCACCCCAGGGCACGAGGAGCGTCTCCCCCTTTCCACACCTTTCCCAGGGCCAACTCCTCCATCCCAAACTCCCAGCAGGAGGGGGAGCAGGCCAAGAGCTGCTGGTGCTGACGGCAGAGAGCAGCCTTAGCTCAGGAGCTATTCCCAGCCCGCGGTGTCAGCTTCCTGGTGACCTTAGCAGGGAACATTCCTCGCCTGGAAGAGCAGCAGGAAGCCTTGGTCCTGGCATTTCTTCCCAGGGAAGGGGCTCTGCAGGGCAGCAGTGAGGAATGCTGCTCTGGAAGGGTTCTCCAAGGGTTCCAGGGCAGGGATGGGGAATGCTGCTCTCCCTGAGTCCTGCTCATCCAGCCATGCCCACTCCTGTGGGATTCTGTGAATTTCTTACAGAATTCCGTGAGAAGTTTCTGTGGATTCAATTTCTGTGAATTTCTGTTTGCTCAGCTTCCTCTCTCCCCACCAGCTTCCAGGTGCTGGGGTTGGAGAGGATCCCACAGATCTCCAGGGAACTGCAGGACAAAGAGGATGATGCCTCCTCTTTGGGGAGATTAAACCTTCCAAGCACCTCAGAAAAACACGGGAATTTTGGTGCTGGATGAAGGTGGACAAAAAATCCCAGGCAGGGCTTTGCCTTGCTGTGAGGCCAATTTTCTTGGGAATTTTGCTCCTGCTGGGATGAGGGAACCTAAACCTGCTCACTGCAGGTCCTAAGGAAGTCCTGACAAACTGAGCCCCGTCAGGGGCTGGATGGAGCAGGACCAAGGCTGTGGAAGCAGCTCAGCTCCAGCCAGCAGCTGCTTTGTAGGCAAAGCACAAAAGACACGAGCAGCAATCGGGACCAGAGGAGAGAAAAGACACGGAAACGGCTTTGGAAAAGGCTGCGCTTCCCTGCAGGCAGCAGCAGGTATAAATATCCCGCTTTTCCTCCCTGCCAAGTGTCCCCCAGAGCCCTTCCCACCCCTCTCCAGGCGGGCACTGTACGTACTGGTCTTCCAGGCATCCGGAGCCTGCAGGTCAGATGTCTTCACGGCCCAGGAGGCGAAGGCGCAGAAGACGAGGCACATGTCCTTGTGGCTCAGCACCCGGGGCTCCTCTGCTGCTCCTGCCACGAGAGGAGCACGAGGTCTGGGGGCTCTGTGCCACCCCCTCTGCCACCCCTCCCCTCCCTCTGCGATGGCGAATCCCCGGGGAATCATCCCTGAATCATCCCCCAGGGGGGATGGCAGGTGGCTCTGCGTGTTCCCAAAGGACAGTGGCACATTTGTCACCCCCCTCAGTCCTGCACTTTGTTAAAAACCCCACGGAAATGTTTGTTAAAGGCACCCCAGGCTGCCTCACCGCCTCCCTGCAGCTCTCTGGTGGCTGCACTTGGGTCTGGGGGGCAGATTTGGGACACAGCAATTCCTGGGGACACAGGCAAGGTCCCCTTCCTGTCACCAGTGTCCCCAGGCACAGTCAGCTCTAGGACAACATCTGAGAGTGCTCAGCATCCCTCCGGGCATCCCACCCCACTCCTGCCTCCTCCAGGGATGAAGACATCCCTGAGTGCTCTGCATTCCCTGATCCAGCCTGGAACAGCTTGAGATCACGTTCTTTTTGCTCCTATTCATTTGATCAGGCTTTTAATTAAAGCTGGCTTACTAATTAGCTGTGACCACCTCAAAGGGGTTTTTTCTCTCTGTGCAAACAGGCTGGAAGCTCCATGTTGAGGCTCCCTTTGGGATGGCTCCCTCAGTGCTTGGGTTTAGTATTAACTCTGAGCATCATTTAAGCTCAAAGACAAACCCCTGCCTGTCCTGGTGGATCAAACCTCCCCTTTATTCCCATTTCTCCCACCTGCCCCCAGGAAGAGGCAATGTTCAGGTGACCTCTGAGGTCTCCAGAGGGTGTTTTTCTGCTCAGGGTGGGTTTTACAGTCCCACATTCCCTGTCCACACCAGGGGACCTGGCCAGGAGCACTGGCTTGGCACGGGGACAGAGAGAGGAACATCCCAAGGGAGAGCCCGGGGGGACAGAGGGAGCATCCCAGGGGAGAGCCAGGGTGACACAGCCTGGACATGTCCCTACAGGTGACAACAGGATTTACCTCTCAGTGCCAGGGCCCCGTCTGCATCTTCTGGCCACACCTGGGCTCCTCCCAGCGGGACCAGGGCGAGCTCCTCCCCGGATCTTCTGGGCACCAGGGCCTGGGAGGTTGAGGCTTGGCCTCCTCCCAGCTGCCCCTGCCTCTGCAGCAGGGACCTCAAAGCCCCCACAGCTTTCTTCACCTCGGAGGCCGAAGCCATGGAGAAAATCCCTCTCCAGCCCATCCTGTTGGGGGCTGGCTCTGGGAAGAAGTGTTCATACACATCAGGGACTGAGATAACCACGGTGTCCTTGTCTGGAGCAGAGCTGGGAGCCTCCTTGTGCAGCCCAGGGCGGTCCAAACCTCTGAACTTCTTTCTTTTCCTGTCTTTAGCTTTGCCTTTTTTCCTGCTTCCTTCTGGCTCGATGAAAAAATACTCATACAGTTCAGGCCAGGAGATTTCCCCCTGCAAGGGTGATCTGCGCCCCTCCAGGGAGCTGCCCAGCTCCTCCTCCTCCTGGGAATCACAGAACAGGTACTCGTACATCTCGGGCCAGGTCACATCCAGGGAGTTGGGCTTGCCAGAGGCCCCGTCAGCAAAGCACAGGGGGCTCACAGCCCTGGGGAGCTCAGCTGCAGCTTCCCAAGGGATCCCACCCCCAGGAATCGTGGGGATCCCAGCTGCAGGCTCGCACGGGATCTCAATGGCAGGGATCCTGGGGAGCTCAGCTGCAGGGATCCTGGGGATCTCAATGGCAGGACTCCTGGGGATCTCAATGGTAGGAATCCTGGGGATCCCTGCTGCAGGAATCCTGGGGATCTCAGCTGCAGGACTCCTGGGGATCTCAGCTGCAGGCTCCCAGGGGATCCCCACTGCAGGACTCCTGGGGATCCCAGCTGCAGTCTCCCAAGGGATTTCAGGTACAGGTTTCCTGGGAATCACAGCTGCAGGCTCCCAAGGGATCCCAGCTGCAGGAACCTCAGGGATCTCTGAGGGTTTCCTGGGAATCTCAGCTGCAGACTTCCTGGGGATCTCAGCTGCAGGAATTCCAGGGATCTCAGCAGCAGGAACTGCAGGGATCTCCGAGGGTTTCCTGGGAATCTCAGCAGCAGGAACTGCAGGGATCTCAGCAGCAGGAACTCCAGGGGTCTCTGAGGGCTTCCTGGGAATCTCAGCAGCAGGAACTCCAGGGGTCTCAGCAGCAGGAATTCCAGGGATCTCCGAGGGTTTCCTGGGAATTTCAGCAGCAGCAGGCTCCCCCCCAGCCCCCTCAGCAGCATTCCCTCCAAACGCTGCCGCGCTCCCGGGCTGGAGAGGCTTCCCTGGCATCTCCTGGCTCTCCTCTCCTGGAGGAGGCGCGGTGCCCTCGCCAGGGACCACGGGGACACTGTCACGTACGCCCAAGCCACCGGCCTGCCCTGCCTTTGGGGGCTTGGTGGCCTTTGTCTTCCCCGGGGACTTCGGGGGAGCACTCTGGGCATCGCCGCCATCCGCGCCAGGGCCGGGCACCGCCCGCTTGTTCTCCGCAGCCTCCTCGCTGCCCAGCCTCACCAGCGCTCCCTTGGCCGCCTTGTCCTTCCCTCTGCCCTTCCGAGGGGACATCGGGGAGCCGGGCGGTGCCTTGCCGGCCCCGGTGGCGCCCGGTGCCGCCGCAGGGTCCCTGTCCCCCTCGGTGCCGCTGGCTCCGCGCTGCTTGCGGCTCCTCTTCGGCTGTGCCGGCACCTTGGGCCTCACCACGCTGGGGGATCCGCCCGGCGAGCTCGGCTCCGTGCCCGCCTTCTCCTCCTCCGCTGCCACCCTGGCTCCCATCCCCAGGGACGGGCTCGGGGTGTCCCCCGCGGGTCCCCGCAGCCCGGGCTCCGAGGGGACAGCGCTTTTCTCGGCCGGTCCCTCGGCCGAGGCAGAGGCTGCCGGAGCTTCTGGCGGTGCCACCGCTCCCGGCTGTGCCAGCAGGGCTTGTCCCCCTCCTGCATCCCCGCCCTGCTCCATGGCAGGGCTGCCTCCGGCCGCTGTCACCACCGTGTCCTGCCCGGGGCCACCCTGGGCTGTGCCACCGGCCGGGGCGGCCGCGGGTGGCCGCGGTGGCTGCCTCCTCTGGGCGCTGGGCATGGCAGCGGGTGCCAGGCAGCTGGGCTTGTCGCTGTCGCACAGGAACCTGCCCACGGAGCGCGGCTCCGCTTCGTCCTCGCTGCCCGACAGCAGCTCCGGCCCGGAGAGGTGCCCACGCTCCGGGCAGCGCAGGGCGGTGTCACCGGGCACCCCACGTGGCACAGGGCTGGCCGTGCCAGGCGCTGCTGGCTCGCTGCCCGGCCCGGCTGCTGTCACCCCGTCGGTGCTGCGGGGACAGTCCCGTCCCGAGGTGTCCCCTTGCTCAATGTCACTGAGGCACTGCTCCTCGGCCGTGGCCAGCGAGGCCGGCGCCAGGCTGCACTCCTCGGAAGCCTGGAAGAACTCAGCCCATTCCCGGTCGTTCAGCTGGATGCTGTACTCGAAGTTATCCATGCCTGCAGCGGGGGAGCGGCGACAGGTCAGGGAGGAGGGGGTGGCACCGCTGCGGGCACACGGAGGCCAGCTGTGTGCCCCCGAGCCTTCCTCCCAGTCCCTCCCTCCCATCCGCTCATCCTCAGCCGTTTCCAGCCCAAACCCAGCTGGAAATTCCAGCCCCTGGCAACCTCAGCAGGATGGGGATGGCCGTGCTGGCCACAAGCCAGCCAGCAGTGGGAGAGGAGGCCACTGCCACCCCCTCCTGTCCCTGCTGCCTCTGCTCCCCAGCACGGCTGCACCGGGGCTTTGGGGTGCTCCCCATGGCAACACAGAAGCTTTGGGATGCTCCCCACAGCTGCACAGGGGGTTTGGGATGCTCCCCACGGCTGCACCAGGGGTTTGGGATGCTCCCCATACCTGATCAGGGGTTTGGGATGCTCCCCACGGCTGCACAGGGGCTTGGGGATGCTCCACATGGCAACACAGAAGCTTTGGGATGCTCCCCACACCTGCAGAGGGGCTTGGGGATGCTCCCCACGGCTGCACCGGGGGTTTGGGATTCTCTCCCCACAGCATCACACCCCACACCTCCCCCTTTCCCCCCCATTTTGCCTCCAATCCACCTTAAAGCCGGGACTGCTCTTCCCGAGGAGCGTTCCCAAATCCCAGAGCAGCCCGGGCATCCCCGCACGGCCCCGCACGGCCCCGCACATCCTGGCACAGCCCGGCACATCCCAGCACAGCCCCGCACATCCTGGCACAGCCCGGCACATCCCAGCACAGCCCCGCACATCCTGGCACAGCCCGGCACATCCCAGCACAGCCCCGCACATCCTGGCACATCCCGGCACAGCCCCGCACAGCCCCGCCCTTGCCCGGGGCCCTGCGCAGGGAGGTGCCGCACAGCGGGACAGCAGGACACGCGGGGAGGTGACAAAGGCCGTCCTACCTGTCCCCCAGCCCCCGGCGGGGACGGAGCCATTCGAGCAGCCTGGCAGGAGAGCCCTCCCAGCACAACATGATGCCGTGGCCCGGCCGGGGGCAGAGAGCCCGGCTCCAGCTCTGATCCATTCAGGGGCTAAAAATAAACCCCCCCTCCCTCCCCGGTGTCACTTGAGATCCCAGTGCCACCAGCCCAGAGAGGGCAGGGCCATATATAGAACTGGTGGGGGACATGGCAGGGTGGCAGCCAATGTGTGACTGTGCCCACAGCCACGTCTGGGGGCACCGGGACCACTCCTGGTGCCCCCTGCTCCCTCCCGGGGTCACTCCATGGGGAAGGGGGACAGGCCACGGAGCTCCCAGCCTGTGGCACACCTGGGTGGCAGTGACTGTCCTTTTTCCCACAGAGCCACTTCTTTGCCTTAGTCACGCTCTCCAGGGTGACACAAAATCACCTCAGGGGCAGGGTTCACCTATTTAGGGCACTCCCAGGGCATTTACTGCCAGCCTGCTGCAGGGTGACATCAGGAGATCACAGCCAGCTCCGAAAGTCTTGTGACAAACCTCGCAGGGCGTGTGGCAGCCGTCCCACGGCACCCAGGGCCACCTGGGCCACGTGCTGTGGGCAGCCGCGGGCACAGCCCGGGGGGAGCCTGGCACGGGGCACTGACAGAGGGCCCAAGGGTGGCCTGGCAGGTCACGAAGCCGAGCCAGAAATAACCCTCAGCTCCCACGAGCCCCGAGCCTTCCTCCCACCTTCCTCCCCCTCCCCGTGGCAGGGCCAGGAATAGCTGCCCTGAAGGAGCTGCCTGCGGGAGAGGGGCTGGGGGAGCAAGCCCCAGCCCCCAGCCCCAGCCCCCAGCCCCCCCTCGGCCACCAGGACACCACAGCTGGACACAGCTGGGACCAGGGCTGGGCATGCTGGGGGAGCCAAGAGGGACCCCTGGGCTCTGCACCCCTCGGGGGTCCCACAAACTCTGCACCCCTTGGGGGGTCCCAAAACCTCTGCACCCCTTGGGAGTCCCACACGCTCTGCGTCCCCTCGGGGATCCCAAAAGCTCTGCACCCCTCGGGGGTCCGAAAAACTCTGCACCTCTCAGGGGTCCCACAAGCTCTGCATCCACTCGGGGGTCCCACAGGCTCTGCACCCCTGGGGGGTCCCACAGGCTTTGTACCCCTTGGAAATCCCACAAACTCTGCACCCCTCGGGGGTCCCACAGGCTCTGCACCCCTCGAGGGTCCTACGAGCTCTGCACCCCTCGGGGGTCCCACAAGCTCTGCACCCCTCGGGGGTCCCACAAACTCTGCACCCCTCGGGGGTCCCACAAACTCTGCACTCCTAAGGGGTCTCACACACTCTGCGTCCCCTCGGGGGTCTCACACGCTCTGCACCCCTCGGGGGTCCTCCCCAGGGCCAGGTGCTGGCCGTGCCCCCCTGCCCACCCCCGAGGCACAGCTCCGGGCTGTGTCCCCACAGGAGGGGACAGCAGGGTCCCCTGTCCCCTCCTGCCATCCCGCGGGACGGAAGCTCCCCGCGGTGGCCGCTGTCCCGCACTGCACAGGGAGGGACCAGCAGAGCCCAGCCCGGGGAACATTCCCGGGACACGCTTCGCTCCTCAGCCAGGAACATCTGCAGGGGAAGAGCTGCTCCCCCGCCGCTCCCGCTGCTGATCCGCCCACGCCCCGCTCCCCTCGCACGCCTCGCAGGCCAGAGGGGAAACCGAGCGGTTTCCTTGGCTTGGCTCGGCCCACTTCCTTCCCTTGGAGCCTTTCCGGGCCTGAGGCACGGAAAGGTTTAACCCGGCTGCGGAGCAGCAGGGAGCGAGGGAGGGGCAGGGACGGCGGCAGCCAGAGGAACAGGGATGCTGGGATGATCTGGGATGGTCTGGGATGGTCTGGGATGGTTCTGGAATGGTCTGGGATGGTTCTGGGATGATGCTGGGATGGTGCTGGGATGGTCTGGGATGGTTCTGGGATGGTTCTGGGATGGTTCTGGGATGGTTCTGGGATGGTGCTGGGATGGTTCTGGGATGGTCTGGGATGATGCTGGGATGGTCTGGGATGGTGCTGGGATGGTCTGGGATGGTGCTGGGATGGTGGAATAGTACCAGGATTCTGGGATGGTGCTGGGATGGTGCTGGGATAATTCTGGGAGGCTGCTGGGATAATTCTGGGATGCTGGGATGATTCCAGGATGATTCTGGGATGATCCTGGGATGATTCTGAGATACTGGGATGCTGCTGGGATGATTCTGGGATGATCCTGGGATACTGCTGGGATGGTTCTGGGATGATTCTGGGATGATCCTGGGATGATGTTCCTGGGATGCTGCAGGGCTGCTCCAGCCCCATCCTGCGGATGGCACCCAGCACCTCCAGGATGGACGCTGTGGGATTAAGGACACGATATAAATAACCAATGTCAACCTGTCATGAGAGAAGGGCCCGAAATAAAGCAGCAGATGTGACCCCCCCCCTGTGCCTGGAGGGACACGGCGTGGGAGACACAGCCAGGAATGGGATTGGAAAGGGCAGGAAAACTGGGAATGCCGTGGGGGGCACTTCCTTTGGGATAGAGACACCTCCAGGCTCAGCACTCACCACTCCCACTGTAAAGGAAGCTCAGTGTCTGGGAAGGGAGCTCTCAGGAATGGAATAATTGGAATATTTTCAATATGGAAAAACTGGAATATTCTCAATATGGAATAATTGGAATATTTTCAATATGGAATAACTGGAATGTTCCCAATATGGAACAATTCCCTTCCTACCCAAGAAACTCCATCTGGGAGAATTCTACCTTTGTGCAGCTTTTCAAACCAGCACTGGAACATGACGAGTGTGGGGGCTTGGCTGAACTCCCCGTGAGACAGCGCAGACAATGCAGAGAAACGTGGGTTTGATTAGGAACATCCTCCCTGCCCTGATCTACACCCATCACATGCTGTGCAGCAGGGCAGGGAGGCAGAGATTGCAGGAAAAGCAGTGGGGAAAAAAAATAATAATAAAGCAGAATGGAAAAAGAAATCTGCCCACAGCTCAAGGAGCAAGACAACCTCGGCCCTTGCTGCTTGCCCGGGACAGAGAGGTTTATTTGTGATTATTTTCTCATTCCTCCTGCAGTTTTAGCTGGATGCTCCCTGAGCCTCAGGCAGTGACAGCAGTGACCTGCCCCTGATCTGATCCGTTCCTTCCTTTCCATAAATTCCTGCGGGGTCCAGCCTGTGCGAGGGAGAGCTCAGGGGGATTGGGGAACGCTGAGCTGGAATTGGGGAACACTGAGCTGGATTTGGGGAACACTGAGCTGCGCTGGGATGGTGCTGGGATGGTGCTGGGATGGTGCTGGGATGGTGCTGGGATGGTGCTGGGATGGTGCTGGGATGGTGCTGGGATGGTGCTGGGATGGTGCTGGGATGGTGCTGGGATGGTGCTGGGATAATTCTGGGAGGCTGCTGGGATAATTCTGGGATGCTGGGATGATTCCAGGATGATTCTGGGATGATCCTGGGATGATTCTGAGATACTGGGATGCTGCTGGGATGATTCTGGGATGATCCTGGGATACTGCTGGGATGGTTCTGGGATGATTCTGGGATGATCCTGGGATGATGTTCCTGGGATGCTGCAGGGCTGCTCCAGCCCCATCCTGCGGATGGCACCCAGCACCTCCAGGATGGACGCTGTGGGATTAAGGACACGATATAAATAACCAATGTCAACCTGTCATGAGAGAAGGGCCCGAAATAAAGCAGCAGATGTGACCCCCCCCCTGTGCCTGGAGGGACACGGCGTGGGAGACACAGCCAGGAATGGGATTGGAAAGGGCAGGAAAACTGGGAATGCCGTGGGGGGCACTTCCTTTGGGATAGAGACACCTCCAGGCTCAGCACTCACCACTCCCACTGTAAAGGAAGCTCAGTGTCTGGGAAGGGAGCTCTCAGGAATGGAATAATTGGAATATTTTCAATATGGAAAAACTGGAATATTCTCAATATGGAATAATTGGAATATTTTCAATATGGAAAAACTGGAATATTCTCAATATGGAATAATTGGAATATTTTCAATATGGAATAACTGGAATGTTCCCAATATGGAATAATTCCCTTCCTACCCAAGAAACTCCATCTGGGAGAATTCTACCTTTGTGCAGCTTTTCAAACCAGCACTGGAACATGACGAGTGTGGGGGCTTGGCTGAACTCCCCGTGAGACAGCGCAGACAATGCAGAGAAACGTGGGTTTGATTAGGAACATCCTCCCTGCCCTGATCTACACCCATCACATGCTGTGCAGCAGGGCAGGGAGGCAGAGATTGCAGGAAAAGCAGTGGGGAAAAAAAATAATAATAAAGCAGAATGGAAAAAGAAATCTGCCCACAGCTCAAGGAGCAAGACAACCTCGGCCCTTGCTGCTTGCCCGGGACAGAGAGGTTTATTTGTGATTATTTTCTCATTCCTCCTGCAGTTTTAGCTGGATGCTCCCTGAGCCTCAGGCAGTGACAGCAGTGACCTGCCCCTGATCTGATCCGTTCCTTCCTTTCCATAAATTCCTGCGGGGTCCAGCCTGTGCGAGGGAGAGCTCAGGGGGATTGGGGAACGCTGAGCTGGAATTGGGGAACACTGAGCTGGATTTGGGGAACACTGAGCTGCAATTGGGGAACGCTGAGCTGCAACTGGGGAACGCTGAGCTGCAAACTGGGGAATGCTGAGCTGCAATTGGGGAACACTGAGCTGGATTTGGGGAACGCTGAGCTGCAATTGGGGAACGCTGAGCTGCTCACGTACAGCTCCGACCCTGCCCACGACCAGGAGACCACCCTGGGAGCAGCAGCAGCTGGGATCCAGCCCAGGGAAGGCGAGGAGGAGGAAAGGGTTAACCTCAGAAAGGGTTAACCCTGCACTGAAACTCCAGCCGCAACCACCCGGCTGGTTCTGCTGGTTTGGGGCAGGTGAGCAGCAATTATCACCCCCAAACCACCCAGGCTCCACGGCGCTTTTGCCCAAACCCTTTAACTTTTTTTGGTTTTGGGGGTTTTTTTGTTTGGTTTTTTTTTTTTTTTTTTGCCTGAAACTCACTCCCCGGGCTCTGTTAGAATTCCAGTTAAAATGCTGCAAAGGTCACACTCGGCTCACTTGAAACGCAGCCCGAGCTGGCCCGAGCCT